GGAGCGGCTTGCAGAGTGCCTGTAATGCTTTTAAGAATAAAGGGCAGCACTCAAACCAGACCTATATTTTTCCTGTCCTGCAGCTCTTTATTTGCCCCTGCTCGGAGGGATTCTCTGATGTAGCACATGCTGCACGCCTGACCCAGCCTTTCTGTCCCCACTGCCACCCCCCACCATACATTAAGTTTAAATAAATGCATTTCCACCGCCAGGAGCCATCCATAAGGCTAGAGYTGGCCTCTTCCTAGTGGGGGATTTTAGCTTGGATGGACACATTTCTATTAGTGATGCCAACCCTGTCTGGTTCCTTTCTAGCGTGAGCTGCAAGCCCAGGAGTTAAATGTGTGGTTGTCATGGGTCTGTGCCAACCCAAAAGAGCCTCCCCTGGAAAGGAGGAGTGGGAGATGGCACACTGCTTCTGAGAAAAGCAGATGAGGTCATCTTCTGCCTCTCAATTCCTGAACTGATCCTTCACAGTTTTTTGCTTTGCAGATCCATGCAGGTTTCCTGCTCCTAGCCACTCCCTGCGCCTGAGGAGTAAAAGGCCCTTCTCCTTTCCATGGGAGAAGGGATCATTTGGCCATCAGAGGATTAGATGCTGCACAGTATTGCTCCACTGGTGGAAATGCTGGTTTCTCACAGCACCCTGTTGACCTGACCCTGGCAGAACTGTCTGTAGGTGTTGGGCAACAAGGCTGGAGCTGTTGGCAATTATTTTTGAGAGCTGTTGCATCACTTAGAATGAACTGGTGAAGTGGGAGCCTGAGTTCTGGTGCTGTGCAGAGAGCCAGGCACGGCTCTGACTGCTGCAGTGTGTCAACCTCAGGTTCAATCCACTTTGACTTTCACTGGAATCCCTGGTCAGGGGCTCTGCTGGGAGCTGCTCTGATTACAGACCCCAGGCTCRGCAGCCCTTGTGCTGGCTGTGGTGTTGTGCAGTGTCAGCTGGGTCACTTCTAGATGTCCTGGCTTTATGAAGGCCCCTGTTTCTCCCCATCCATTCTGGCGTCTTGTACTTGAACTTGGGACCCTTTGGCTGTGAGGAAAATTTACCTGCTTTTCTTACAGCAAATAGAATTCTGGACCAAGAAGTTGAGGATCACAGAAGGGGAAGCTCACGGCTTTGGCTTCCTCTGTAGTTGCTCCAATAGCTGGAATCTGCTCAGCTGCTCTCCTTGGGCTTTCCCAAAACCTGGCAAGAGGGGCTGAGAGCCCCTTGCCCCAGCAATTCTCTGCTTTAATCTTCTCCAGCCTTGCATCAACCATTTGTTTTTATAAAGCTGTTGCAGTATCTGGTGGTTGGGGTGCTCTGTTGGGAGTCCCACCATGCCAAACCCTTCCCATTGGTGAGGTGCCTTCCTCACACTTCAGAAAAGCATAAGCAGTTTCTAACCCTGAGGCCTCACCCAAAGCCTTTGGGTTGTTTGTGTTCCCTCTGTAAGCAGGAAATACCAAGCATGGGTCGCATTTGGTTGCAGGAATCCCATGGTTGTGTGGATTTGGGGAGCTGGGATGTGTGACTGACCTGCTCTGGTGGCCTCTGGGCAATGGACTTGAGGGTATGGCCTCCAGCCCTCATTGCCCTCCTGACACTTGGAGGCTTTGAGCAAAGCACTCAAATATCGGGGGCCATTGCTCAGCTGCTTTAAACTTCCTGGTGACTTTGTGCCGAGCCATTCGTGTTTGCTGGTGTCTTCATTGTACTTTTTATCTTTGGTGTTGTGTGTGTAAACCTGTGTGTGCAACAGCCTCTGCTCTGCACAGGCACCCTGAGCTCTCCTGGTGTTTCCCTAACCCATGTTACTGAGACCACAAACTGCCCCAAAGTTTCATCATTTGAGCTGAAAACACCACGTTGTCCTCTCAGCTTGGCCCTGCTCTAAATCCCTGCCTGGGGTGGTTTTGTGAGCAAAGTTACTCCAGTTGGGAGGAAAGAAATGGAAAAGCAAGAGGACAAATATGGTCCTRTTTAAAGGAACTTTGGGGTTTTACTGTGACCTAAAGCATGTGCTTTATTCAGCAATTTTCACAAGCAGGAAGCTTTATTTAAGGCCTACAGGACTTGCTGAATCATGGAGCAAGGAGAAAACTGAGCACAAGAAATAGTTTAAATGGAGCAGATTTTTTTTGTTTTCAGAGCTTTTCTGTTGTCCTCCATGTTCAATCTTAATTGCCTTAAGCAGATGCCATCAGGAGCATCTCTGGATGCTGCCCTGGTGCAGTAAAGGGCAGGTGAGACCTGAGTAATCCTTTTAGAAAAGTGACCACTAAGGTAAATGCAACCCCCCTCTTTGATGTGAAGGAGTTTCAGGGGATTGGAGGAGAAATCAGAAAGCAGCACTGGTTAAATTTGCTCCAGACCTTTACTGGGGACCTGTATTTACAGCATTCTGCTTGTGCAGGGATCGGGGTTTGTGTTTAATCAGGAATAGCCCAAAGTCACAGTGTACACAGAGAGTTCTGGGCTTTGTGCTCTGCTTTTGTCAGCACCCTGTTTCCATACCTCAGGAGAATTGTATGGCCTTTTTGGCAGAGCTGAAGCGGAGGGAARGGAATGATGTATTTCATTGCAGTCCCCACATCTAAATATAAATAGTTCTCCTCTTGGATCCTTCCAGGCTGATCTTCTGGGTGATTTGACCTTTCTTTGATAAAAGCTTTCTTTATTTGCAGGAATAAAAAGGCAAAGGGGAGGAGAGGACACAGCAGATGGGTTTTTTTTTTTAAATATCTTTAGATCCTGGCAGTTGATTTCCGCAGCACCCAGCGCTCACTGCTGGGCCAGCTCCCTCCTGGGCTCCAGCTTTTCTCCTCCTCTGAGCTCCTTGAACAAACTTTGCATTTTACTCCAAAGCACTGACCYGAAGATTTTTAAGGAAGTTTTTTATCACAGGGACATCACGCTCYGATGGGGACGGATGTCCCAAGCTCCCGTCCCCAGCCCTGCCCACTGCACCACTGACCCTGGTTTTCCTTGTTTCATAACTTCAGCTGAAAGAAACATTTGTGTTAATTGCTGCTGGTTTTTCATGTGTTCACCCTCAAGCAGTTTGAGCTCAGCTTCCAAACATGGCTCAGTTTAATGTGTAAAACCACGGGACTCTGGCACTGCCCAGGTTCCAGCCCAAGCAAAAGCAGCACAGGTGCAATGTTAGAACTGCTCTAGACTGCACACAAGGCTTTCTGGCACTAGTTCTAACCATTAATTGCCACTTTAAATCCAGCAATAAATTATTTGGGTAACCACAGTGCAAGAACCCACTGCCAGGAACAAACCAGAGCTGAGCTCTACTCAGTCCCCTCCTTCATCTTCAGGACTGCAGAGCTGAATCAGGCAGGGCACTCTTGCACACTCTCTGAGTGTGGGTTTTTGGTGTCTCACCAACCTTCTGGGTGTAATTTAAGCCATCATCCTGTGAACAGTGTTGTCAGTGCTGGAGGTGCACTGCATGTGTGTTTTTATATGCTGTTTGCTCCTGGAGCTTGGGATGGTGTGTGGTGTGCAGGATGCCTCAGGATAAGCCTCTGATCCTTTGCAAATTGGATTTTGTGGCTCACTTGCCTGTCCTCTTGGATAAAGTTTCCCTGTAGCTGCCTTTCCTCTAGCAGAGCTCGGGTCCATCTCAGGACTGCAAAGCCTTTTATAATGCTCTGAGGATCAGGAGTCACTTGGAAATGACAGAGACAGACTTTCCATTTCCCAGTGAAATATGCTCCAGAGCGTGCCTGCTGCTTCATTCCCTTCTGGAGCTCCAATCAGTCTGCATGAGATTCCCACTGGTTTGGTTTGGTGCTTTTCCTGCTGTTCTTGCTCAGTGTGGCACTGAGGTGTTCCTGGCTAGCAGCCCCACAGTGATGACTTATTTTAGAAAGCCTCTGGGCCACATGAGTCGTTCTCATTTCGTGCTGGAGAGGAAATGGATTGCTCAAAAAAGGCCTGCTSTCTTCAAACAGAGCCACAGCTGGCTGATTTTAACCCAGTTCAGCTGGGATTAGAGGGTGCTGGTAAATTTTACCCCCAAAGAAAACAAAGCAGGAAAATGCACYGTGTTAGCACAAGTGGGATTGTCAGGGTTTTAAATAAGCCCTGTGTAATTTCTGGAAGGATGGAGTGTAAAACAGGCCAGCACAGAGGGGTGATGGGTTGTACTGGAGAGGTCCATCGACAGGAAAGATGAACAGTTCCAGTTTGCTGATAAGAATGTACTGGTTTGAGTTTCATGCCTGTTTTGGGAGAGGGTGCCAGCCCTGGTGAGGGGCAGCAGATACCACATTCATTTCACAGTGAGCTCAGGAGCAGCACTGGCCTCTCACTTGTGCCATTCTGTGCTGATGTGAACAGGACACCCTCCAGGGGCTGAGGAACAGTAATCCTTGCCAGGGTTAATGCTTAAATCTGTGCTGCTTGACTTTTGARCAACAGGGGAGTTAATGCTCTCAGAAGTGCTGAGAGACCACCTACTCTTTGGTGCAGACTGCCAACAGCTGACAGATGGAAGTGATTTTGGGACAGTGRGAAGACAGTGTGGGATCACACTGGTGACCAAGAGCAGCCTCTGTCTCCCACAGTCTTTGACTTACACCCACCCCTTGTGACTCTTGCTGTGGAGAAGGACAGTTTCCCAGAGCCATCAGAATTCTTCTGCGGGGTGTGAATTAGCAGTGGGTCGGTGGTTTGTTGTCTCTCGAGGTTCAGTCTAACAGACACACGTTCCTCTGAAGATGCTTTTTGGCAAGCCTGCGTATGGCTGAAGGATGTGTGGCAGTGGGAGCTCTGCTTGGAAAGCAGGAGGGTGTGATAAAGCAGGGCTGATTCCATGTGCTGGTGTGTGCTGACACACTGACCCCTCTGCTCGATGCCATGCTCTGTGCTCCATGTGACTGCCCCTGACCACAGCTGTCAGACACCCACCTTGGTGGGAGAGCTCTGCTGACCCTGCCCTTGCCCTGTCCCTGTTTGATGTTTACCTAAGTGTTCCTGTCCATCTTTTGTCTTGCAGCATCTGGAGAGGGCCAAACGTGAACTGCGTTGACAGTACTGGATACACCCCGCTGCACCACGCTGCTCTGAACGGCCACAAGTGAGTCCTGTTCCGTGCCTTGGCTCGAAGGAGTGGATGCTTTGTGCTTCCCTGGCCACGGCTGTGTGGTTCATTCACCAGCCCGAGGCACTGGTGCAGCGCTGGTGCAGCACTACTCCATCTTCAGGGGAAGTGGAGAATGTCAGTGCTGCTGCACAGTGTGATCTTCCATCTCAAAGCACTGAGGTTTTCAACCACCCGTTTATTTCTAAGCAATGAGGATAAGATCTAACACTGTGAAAGGGGTTCCCCTAGTGACAGTCACTACAGTCTGTCTGGTGTCCAGGGTAATCTGGGCCTGCACCACTTTACAATTGCCTTGTATGCAAATCATGTTTTAAAGTTACTCCAGTCTTCACTGTRGTCGATCTCATGTTGCTCATTGCTGCCTAAGCTATTGAGAAATGGAATAGAGTTAAAATCTTTATTCACCTTGGTTGTGCTGGTGCAATTCACTTTGCAGCAGAAGTTCGTGGCTGACTTCAGCCCCTGTTCAGCTCCATTAGTGGGGAGGTAACATGGATCTTCCCTGAGCTCATCTCAGCAATTTTTTTTTTAATTTCTTTGGGCAGCATTTAATAGAAACCCTTAAAAGTCACATTTCAAGAGGATCTCTGAAACATTCCTRTTCAGATTAACTTCTTGTGCAGTACTTGCTGCAGAATGTGAACTGTGAAGCAAAGACTGAATGTCTCACTGAGATTCTCTTCTCTTGCAGGGACGTTGTGGAAGTTCTGCTGAGGAACGACGCGCTCACCAATGTGGCAGATTGCAAGGGCTGCTACCCCCTGCACTTGGCAGCCTGGAAGGGAGATGCTGACATAGTGAAGCTCCTCATCCACCAGGGCCCTTCGCACACCAAAGTGAATGAGCAGGTCTGCCTGATTTTCTCTAATGTGTCATTGAATCACTTCCCTGGCATGGAGAGAGACTCCTTCAGCTGACTCCTGGCCCTTCCCAAACCAGCAGCAATGATTGTAAGGTCCTGCTTGCTGGTGGGATAAGAGGGGCACTACCTAAAGCGATAGATTCAGCTCTGAGTGGTAGGATGAGAAAGGTTTTGAAGTTTTATAGAGACACATGAATATGAGATCTGCTCAACACTTAGGAAGTGGTCTCCTGCTTCTGGGCTTCTAAAACTAACCCACAGTTTTCCTTTCAGCTGCTGGATAGCTGAGCAGGTTTCTAGTTCTGCAGAGGATCCATTGGCTCCCTCCTTTGGGAACTAATCAAGGCAGCTTTRTTCAGTCTCTTTGGCCGTGCTCTCTTAGCTGCTCTCCTGGCTTGTCTCTGGCACTTGCTCCAGTTCACTAATTTGTAAGTTCTAAGATAATTTTAACCCYACTTGCCCCCAGATAAATCCCTAGCTTAATCTTAAAGAATGATTTTCTCAATCAGGCAAGAAAAAAAAGCCTCTTGGATTTGTTCCTTTTGTCAAGCTGACGGTTTTGGTCTGGGGTGCAGAGGGAGTGAGGGGCACGAGACAGCAGTGTCCACTCCAGAGAGCTGGCTCCTGTGGARCTGCCCCATGGACATCAGAGGTATCTTAAAATTCCAGGGAATTTCTGCAATGCTACTGCTGGAAGACCCAAATATTCCTGTACTTTGAGAGTTTGTTTAAGGTTTCATAAGTGAGGCCATCTGAGCAGTGTCACTGAATTGCCCCTCCCAGGGTGAGCCTGGCAGACACACGGTGACAGGCCCAAATCAGGTGCTAAAGCTGCACTGGGCTGTGCTTGTCCTGTCCCTAAGGCAGGAACATCTGATGGCCCTGTGAATCAATTCAGCAGACCACTCAGGTTTTCTTTCAGGAGGAAAGGAGTAAACCAAAATAGGTTTGCCTGCCTTAATGCCCCCAGGTTAAACCTGAACATTTATCCCAGAGGTAATTTCCAGGTAGGTCAGACACCCCTGGCTCGAGTTCAGCTCGTAGTCAAGGTGAGGAGCTGGGAGTCTCTGCTGTTGATTTGCTCCACAGAATTTTTCAGAAGCTGTGGAGCAAACTCCTTTCAGAGGCAGGTTTAGGAGTCCCACTCCTTTTTTGTAGGGCCCCAAGTGCCACACTGAAGTTTCCCAGGATGGATAACTCGATGCACCAGGCTGCCCCAGGGATAAATGCTGCTAAAACATCATGGAATAAAAAATCTGATTGTGATGCAATTCCCCACCACTCCTCCATTGAACAGGAATAACAAGGAGTGTGTGTTCTAATGTCTCTGGTGATAGTTTTCCAGTTTGGGGCTGTGGTTAATCATGTCTCCAGGCACAGCTGCAGGCACTCAGTCTGGTTGTATAGGCTTGAGTACAGGTAGCCCTTCACAATCAACCTGACAAGAATTAAGTGAGGGCCCTGAGTGTAAATGTTCTGCTCTGAGTAGGGCAGGTAGACGGGAGATTTTTGCAAAAGATCCAAAACTTAGTATGATCCTTTGAGGTAATGTTTCATTAATGTCTGTTTGGTAGGAGCCCTGTTAAATGAGAAAAGTCAGCTGAGGAGCCTGTGCTTGGAGCCTGGTCCGGGTTACAGCAATCCCAGCTGGAATGGCTTTTGCTGGTCATGGCTCTGACTGGAACAAGTTGCTGTGTCCTGCCGTTCCACCCCTTGGAGTCACCCATTGCTTTGTTGCTGTATCTCACCCATTTCATTATCACATTTTTTTCTTTTTCCTCTTCCTTTTTGTAGAATGCTCTTGAGATCAAAGAACTCAAAAAGTACGGCCCCTTTGACCCATATATCAATGCCAAGGTGTGTACTTTGCTGTCAGCATCTCACTGCATCATCACTCCAAGCTGCACTCGCGTGCTTCCAGGTGCAATAATACCTGTTCACTTCTGCAGCTGCTTGGGGAAAAGGAAAATGGGACCATTTAATTACTGTGGGTTTCTCTCTTCAAAGCAGTTATAGAAACATAATTAAAGGGAAGCTTTTCCTTACTTTCCTGGGGGCTCCTTCCTTGCTTAGCCTTGTAGGACTCGCAGTGATGGTCAGTTTGCTTGATTGGGCTGGATGACTTCCCAAAGGTAATGTTACTTCAATTAAATGTTTCAGGTTTTGTTTCATGTGCTGATGTTGCTGATAAATGCAAAGAGAAGGAAATTTTTTTTCCCTGCTTAACCATGGATGCATTTTCTCTGTGGGCTGTTTGGAGTGAATTTTGATGCCTTTTTTCCTACCAAATGCATAATGCTGTGTGTGTTGTTTGAATGGGCAGTTAATTCCTGTGGTGGTGGTGGGGAGAAGGGAGGGCAGTGACGTTCCTGCCTCCCTTCCCAAGTCCTCCATGTCCTGCTTATTACATCAGTCTCTCTCTTTTGATGTTCAGTCCGTGGTGTCGTCTGACCCTTCAGCCCTGATCTTCTGTTCCTGTTTTCTGGCCTGTTTTGCTCCTCTCTTGTTTTCAGCTGTTCTCGAGCTACACAAGACACAACATCAGCTCGTGCAATGTGCTGAGACTGAGCTGTTGAAGAAGCAGATTAAATTCCTGGTGATGCTTTCTCAGACACCATTTTTCAGTTTTATTTCTAGTGAAGCTGCAAGCCAGGGATGGCAAAAGTCTGCTTCTGTGTCCTGAGACACCTCTGCCCTGAGCTGCCACACCACAGCAGCTTCCAGCCAGTTATTTTGGATCCAGCCATCCAWGGCAGATTTCTGTCTCTCAGAGCTTCCCTCTGCAAGACCTTAGGAACACACAGCCAGAGTTCCTGTGTTTGCTGGGAGTTAGGCGTGGTTTTACAGAGCCCTGTTTCAGGGTCACCAGTGCTTACCCTCTGAGCACAAACACGTTCCCATTAGCTCGTCCCAATAGGGGATTTTTACAAAAGTCCAGATGGGAATTTTGTGCCAAGGAATGTCTTCTATAGAAACATCATAGTTCAACAGTTCAGCAGCCCGAAAGGAGCTTCCTAAAATATTGCCAGTAACCAAGTAAAATCTTACACYCTACAGTGTAGGGATGTTGAATGAAGAAGGAATGTAAAGGAGGAATACCCAAGGAGCTCCCTTTCTTGTGGATTTCTGTTTACAGAGTCCTCTGATTTTGCTTTTATACTGTGGAGAAATTATTTAAAGCCTCAGTTCAATGTTCACAATGGCTGAGGTGCTCCATAGAGCAAAACAAGATTTTGGGGATCTTTGCTTTGGTTTTAAGGAGAGAGAGATGATTTATATGTAGTTGTTGGGTTGATCACAAGTTCTGCCCAGCTTTGCACCAGTTCCTGGCCAGCTGTGAAGAGCATGTGGACTTGAACTTGTCACACAAACCCTGGAGTGTTCTCCGTAGCTCTGGAGCAGTCAAACAGCAGGTTGTCAATAGGGCAGGACTCTGTTGGACACTCAGACACCGACAAAAATGCTACAAAGGAATTTTAGAAGTAGATTGGGTGGGACTGAAATGCTGTTTAGCCACTTCCCCCAGCCCTGGGGCAAGATCAAGTCTTCCTAAACCTTTCCTGATCAGGGTTTGCCCGCCAACTTCTCAAAAACCTCTTAGAGGGGCAGCTCGGTGGCCTTTGGTAGTTCATTCAACCCTTCAGATCTTTGCAGGTCAGAAAACTTTCCCTTATTTAAACCAAGTCTCCCTTTGCTCAGTCAGAGCCATCTCATGGTGTGTTGGTAGCAGGGGCTGCAGGACAGACTCAGCACTTGAAAGGGCTGTGGATTCTCCACTTTAGCATGGGATGAGGAGCAGCAGGGCTGTGTGTGGTGGGTGAAATCTCATTACCAGGGCTTGAAACCTGTGCTGGGGTCCTTAAGAAAGCAGAGCCATCCTGCTCATGTTCTRTTTGTGCTCTGCAGACAGGCATTGCTCCCAGCTCCTCTCTCCTGGCTGAAAGCTGGGGGGATGCAAGGATTCCTGCAGGAATGCAGCCCCTCGGCYCTCTTGAGTGCTCTATTTTTCCAAGTAATTCTGAAATTTGAAGCCATATGCCTTCTGGCTGCTGGAATGGAATTTTTCCTTTCCATCTCTGATACATCTGTGGGTCTGARCACTCCTGCTCAGGCTCTGCTCTGGTTTATGCCTGGAGAGGTGATGCACAAAGGGAGCAAAAACTCCCTTGTCAGAAGAGCTGTAGTATTTTTGGCTGCTCAAAACTCTCCCAAAATGGAGGCAATAAAGACTCAGGCAGTAGTGGGAGTTTCCACTGCACAGTCAGGAAYTGGGAGAGCCTTGCTGTAATGATTCAGGGGATTTTTACYGCCTGGTGAGCTCTGCTGCAGGAGRAAAGTCTGGGGATTTTGCCTCAARCATCGGAGCCCCAATCTGCTTAGGGAAAATTGGACTGAATTGCAGGGAAGATGAGGGAAGTCTCCAACAATTACGTTTTTAAAGGATGTTTCGTTCYCATTTCTGAGCCCTCAGGCAGGTGCTTGGAAGTGCTGCATGCCTTAAAGCCTGCTGAGGGATACAGACCCTGTGCTGGGAAGAGAGGAGAGGGGGAGCAGTCCTAGCTGAGGAAATAAATCMTCAGTAGCCAGGGCTGGCATGGCACGAGCAGTGTGTGCCCCCATAGCCCTGGGATTGCTCAGAGGGGTTGGGATCATACAGCCTTTCCACAAAGCCTGGCAGCGAGGATCCATCATGCCACAGGGCAGGYTGAGAGCCTGGCCCCAGCTGGGCTCTGTGATCCCTGCATTCCCAGCCCTTTCAAATGGGAATAACRGGATTTGTCAACGCTGTAAATGCCCAAGAGCAGCAGTGTGAGCTGACGGGCAGGTGCGAGCTCTGATGTTCTCTACTCTGTCCCTCTCACTCCGTTTGTATATTTTATGTGCAGATTTCTGTATCCTGCAGTAACCTCTGTCCACGTGTATGTGCCTCCCCAGGATGGATCCTGTTTGATTTGGACCTTCAGCGATGCTTTGCCCCCGTTTGCCCCCTCCCCCTGCATGTGCCTGGTGCTGCTCCTGCCTCCTGCGCTTCGCTTCCRTGCAGCTGCAGCTGCCGGAGCCTCTCCCAGCTCCTGCTCCCCTGGTGCTTTGCCTGTGGCTGAGAAGCGATGCAAAAGCCAGATACAAACAAGTGGGGGGTTGACAGGACTCCTGTGAGCCTGAGAGTGACTGAACACCTTGCCAGGATCTGAGTGCTTGTGCAGCCACACGAGTTGGTGACATGGTGCAAAATACCGAGCGGTGTCCCCAGGCGTGCGTGTTGCTCTCACAGCAGGCAGRGATCAAATTCCATTCTTCAGTGGTGCTGCTGCCTCCAGCAGGACAAGAACATTCTGTTTATTTTAATGGAAATGTTGTTAAAATGACAAATTCATGATTCTTTCATTTGAAGTGTGTAACCGTTTGTGTTAAACTTATTTTGGGGTCAAATTGTCAGATGGTTGTTTCTAAAGTGCTTTAACCAGAACCCCTCCATTGATGGCAAACAATTGTAAAATTAGAAACTTGAGAGAAATTTAATTTGAGAAAAGGCTGTGTTAGATCTGMCCATGTTCCTATTTTGCACCTACATGTGCAGGGTATTGGACTGCTCATTTTTGGGCTTTGCATTGCTGGTTCTTAGCCTGGCTGCTGCTGCACACAYGGGTTTGGGTCTGGCTTCCAGCGGGGTGTGCTCCCTTGTCACTGGGACATTGCTTCCCTCAGCTGCCCTGAGCCTGGCTTGTTCCTGGGGTGATGGAATTGCACGGCYCTCTGGTTTGCAAACTGCATGGGACTGGGTGCACCCTTTCTCTAAACAGCTGGAATTGCAGAGGTGCAATGACTGTTGGAACCAGGATAAGTAGGGTTTGAAACAATTGAAGTTTAAATCTAAAATGATGACGATGAAGCTCCAGCAAATAGAATTCACACAACAGTTTGCCTGCCTTATATCCAGTCTTTTGTTTTTGTGGGCACCCTGAAGTGCAGGTTGCTGCCAAGATACCAGACTGCCTTCCCCAGGTGCCAGCAGGATTAATGAGAATCTGGATATAGCTCAATATCCCTTAAACTTTAGCATGGCCCCTGGATTCCAGTCCCTTGGAAATGCTTGGAAAACAGGCTGCTTCGTCTGTAGCCCCTCTTTGTCCCAGCTCAAGTGTGTTGTTCTGCACATCCCTGAAGCTGTGGCTAGATGGGCTGATCGATGAGCTTTCGAGGGAATGGTAATCAGCTGGGGAGATGCTGAAACATTGCTCAGCCTGGTTCAGACTGGGCTCTCTGCTTCCCCACTGCTTCTTTTGTCTTGTTTTTGCATTTAAACTTCAATGCTGGAGCGAGGCGTGTGGYGGCCGCCACCCCAGCCCTGACACACTGCCGCCTGTGCCCCACAGAACAACGACAACGAGACGGCGCTGCACTGCGCGGCCCAGCACGGCCACACCGAGGTGGTGAAGGTGCTGCTGGAGGAGCTCACCGACCCCACCATGCGCAACAACAAATTCGAGACCCCCCTGGACCTGGCCGCGCTCTACGGGAGGCTGGAAGTGGTCAAGATGCTCTTGAACGCCCAYCCCAACCTGCTCAGCTGCAACACTAAGAAACACACCCCGCTGCACCTGGCAGCCAGGAACGGGCACAAAGCTGTGGTCCAYGTCCTGCTGGATGCTGGCATGGACAGCAACTACCAGGTATGTGGTGTGTCTGAGTGGGGCTAGGCTGGTTGCTGGGGACTGGAGARCTCCACCGACCCTCCTCGCAGAGGAAGCTGAGGAGAGCTTTGTGTTCTGCTGGGCTGTCTCTGCAGCTCCGGGTCGCTACCCAGAGGGACTGGGGTGCTGTGCATGCCTCACGCTGCGCCAGGGGCCAGGCAAAGCCCCAGAAACGGAGAGTGAGGGACAGAAACACTCTTTGGCTGAAGCTGTTCTGCCCCGCAGCGCTGTGAGCTCATGATAGCAATGGAGGCAAACGCGTCTCTTTCTATCAAGCCACTTGTGAATGTGCTGTTTTCACAGCAATGGCTTGTACGTGGGTCTTGTCTTTCCTTGTCAGGACATGACCTCCTGCCAGGCTGTAGAAGGCCCTTTGTTGGTCTCTCTGATGGAACCATCCCCATTTTTCCATCCCACATCCTCAGCAYTGTAGTAACGTCGATAGTCCGTCCTCAGCCGCAGGTAGTGCTGCCCACACCTTGTGTACAACGCCGTGTATTTATTGCTTCTGTAACCCTCTAAGCCATGCCTCCCTCACCATTCCCTGCTGTCTGGCTTCATGCTATGTTTCCATTTAATTTGCAGACTGAGAAAGGCAGTGCTTTGCACGAAGCTGCTTTGTTTGGCAAGACAGATGTGGTACAAATATTGCTGGCTGCAGGTGAGAGAATGTTCCCCCTTTGAAGCACTAATGTGAACACCCAGAGCTTGRGGAAATCCCTTTCTAATGCAGCAGGTTTCTCCATCCAGCTGTCGGAGCTCCTCRGAGCAGGATATAGGAGAGGTTGACTCTCGGAGTTTGGCTTTAGATTTGTCTCTAGAGTGTTTTTTAGCTCCCCCCAGTGATGATCACAAATGTGACTTGATGAAAGACATGAACCTGCACACAGTTAGACAATATTCTTGCTTTTGCCCTCTGTACCCGTGTTGCCACAGGTATTGATGTGAACATAAAGGATAACAGAGGCCTGACTGCTCTGGACATTGTGAGGGAGCTTCCTTCCCAGAAAAGCCAGCACATAGCAGCTCTCATCGAAGGTGGGTGATGCAGCTCTGCCTGTGGGGAAAGCTCAGGGTACTGATTGTGCCAGGGCAAGTACAGGGTGTGCTTTTCTAGACCTGGAAAGTGCTGAAAGCAAAGCAGCTTCAGGCTKTGTTGGAAGGAACAGTGCTGGAACACTGGAGTGAGCTTCTCCAGACCAAATGTTTGGAGGAGGACTTGGGGGGATTTAGGAGGATTAGCCCATTGCTGAGGGAGTGTGGTGTGACTTTTACAGTTTAAATGGGCTTAATTGAGCTTTGTTTAGCTCACTTTAGAAGTTAATTAAAATTAAGGATATCCTAAATCTGCTTGCAAAATGCAAAGTAACAGCTTTAGAAATGGTTCTGGTGTAACTCCCCTTTACGTGTCTGTGTAGGCAAATTGTTGTCCACAGATCTCACATCCTGCTCCTCGCCTTGTTGTGAGGCTCGAGCATGGAATCTGCAGATGAGATTTACAGAAAAGGCCTTGATTACTTGTGGTTTATAAAGGAGCTTGGTCCATTGTGTCTGTCCAAATTCGGGAATGAAATGTGACATCTTGGCTAAATTCATACCTTGTAATTACGCTGTCTGCATTTCCTCTCAGCTGTGGGGAGGATCAGAAGCATTTGGAGCCTGGGTATGTTACTCATGCTGAGCATTTGGGAGCTTTGCAGGTTCAAAGCACTTCTCAGACTTTTAACTAAGCTGTGCCTGTGAGGCTGGTAGATTTGAGCTTTATTCTTAAACTGAAGACAAAGATGGGCTTTAAAACTGAAGGTGCTGCAGATAAAGGCTGTTAGTTTGTCCCAAGAGGGAGCTRCTGTTGGATGCCTTTGCCTGGGGTTGGGGGCTGCAGCTGGGATTGTTTTCTGTTGTTATGACTCGGTTCAGTGATAGAGCTTGTGTCTACAACACAAATCTGCTCCGTGACTGTGTCCATACAGCAGCTTTGCAGCTTTCTGATTAAAGACWCTGAGAGTTCAAAGGACCATCCCTACCCTTATGCCTGTGATTAAAGAGGCTGCCTGCTTCTATTTTGGGATCTGAGCTGCAAGTTTTAATAATGTTATTTTTTGTGGACACTTAATAAGCTGACAGTTGGCCTTCTACCCATGAGGGAGGAAGCGCCATGTGCTGAAGGGGACAGAAAACCAGATTGACGTGAGCTGACCCTGTCCCCCAACCCCGTTGCAGATTACACCATTGGGAAGAAAAGTGCCAAAGCTGTGGAGAAATCTGCTCCAGCCYCGCTCGTTCCAGCCACCGATCCCTCGGGCCGGACGTCTCAGGGTGGGCATCACCAGCTTTCCTCTCCCTGCCAGCACCGAGCTCGGGAGATCCAGTGATGATCCTATCTCTGCCTTCCCCCACAGGTGACGTGGACAAAGCTGTCACAGAGCTGATCATCGATTTTGATGTGAACCCTGAAGAGGAGAGCCCCTATGAAGCTCTGTACAATGCCACGTCCTGCCACTCCTTGGACAGCCTGGCCAGTGGGAGATCGTCCGACCGCGAATCTGTGAATAAAGAAGCTGAGCCCAGTGGCCTCAAAGCAGCCGGAGTCAGGCCCGTACGTAGCTGTGTGTGCTCACCCTGCTTGCCCTAGAGGCACAGGGGGTTGACCTGCAAGGTCAGGTTTTGCAGCCCCAGCTTGAKGAAATCTTTAAACCCTTCCCTGACAATGATTAGAGCAGGCAGATGCCTCTCCTTCTCCCCTAGCCTGTTCACAGGCAATAGCCCCAGGTATTGCCTACAAGCAGCTGCTTCTTTATGCCTGAGTTTCACCTGGTATTCCATCCTTCTCTTTTCTGGCAGTTGGATACTGGTGCCAGTGAATCTTGATGTGTCAGGAGATTGCATTTCACAGAAGGCTGACTTCTTGTCCAGAAAAAAAGTTCTGGAAACTTTTGTAGAGCTTTTTTCTCGTGTCTTGCTCATGCTTTGCCAAAGCTGAGGCTCTCAGGAAATTATCTGTAAGAATAATCTSTTGGATACTACTTGGCAGTGGAAGGGGGTTTTTATGTATTGCTTGCAGAGCTCTGTAGAGGGAACTCCAGGCTTTACAAAGCAGCACAGAGCTCCTGGACCCGTCCCCAGAGAAGTCTTCCTCACCTTCTGTCAGCTGCATCTGCTGGCCCGATAGCTATCRGTGGGAAGGCTGCTGTGGGGCAGATGGGACACGGGCCCTGCAGTGCTGGGTCAGCTTCAGGCTCTGTGTTCTGATTGATTTTCCAAAGCCTACTCTGTGGAGGCATTTTTGGACAAAAGGCAGAGCAGCAGTGAACAATTAAACTGCTGGGGRCGCAGTAACCATGGTTCCCCATTCTGCAAAGAGGTGCAGCCTTTGGCTTATGCTGACAACGAGTGGAGTAGAAATGAGACAAATGCTTTGGATGATGGACTTTTTGACCAAATCTGTTAGGGTTGCAGTACCAGGTGCAGTGTCCTGTTACTGATCAAATCTTGTCATTGTCCTGTGCTGATGGTGTCTGKTGTGAAATAAGCTCAGCTCTGTCGCAAGGAAGGAAAGGTGAGAGGCTGAGCTGCAGTGAAAAGAGAGCAGGAAGAGGGAAGTGCTCCAGTAACTCGCTAGAGTTTCTCCCCAGAGCCGCTGAATCTGAGCAGTGCAGCTCTGCTGCTCCCTTTGCCATTAGATGGAGCTGTGGCTGGGCAAGAGGTGGCCTGGGATGTGCTCGGCTTGAGACCAGGCAGCAACTCCAGCTGCCCAGGGGCAGTCCCGGGATATCGGAGCAGCACATTTTAGCATTGTTTCGTGATCTCTAGAGTTTTGCACTATAAAAGGTACCTCTGGCATCAATTTCACTTAGCCACAAGCCCTTTCTCACCATCAGTTCATTGCTCACTCCCTTGTGTAGTGCCATGGAAATGCTGGTCTGGCAATTCTGAAACCTGTGTGAAAAGATAGGTGTCCTGAGGAGGAGGAAAGGCAGCAGTCATTGTCCAGCCTTTTAGGGCTGAACTGCTCCACCCAGATTGATTTGAAGAGGTCCTTGCTGCATCCAGTGGGGACATGGAGCTGGTGGAAGCAGAAGGGACACAGAGCTGCACCAGCACAGCTGACARTGCTTGTCTCACCCGCAGAGAGAACGTCCTCCCCCGCCAGCCAAGCCCCCGCCTGATGAAGAGGAGGAGCAGAATGTGGAGAAGAAGACAGGCCACAGTACTCCCTGTGAGGTACATGGGGCTTGCTCTGGGGTGTTTTCATGGAAGAGTGGTTCACACATCAGTTTTAATCATTTGGGAGGAGCCAAGGATGCTCCTGTGCTCGTTGGGCTTTGAATGTGAAGTATTCCCTCACTCAGTATTGCTGCTGTTCCTTACCATGGGAACTTCCTTTGTCCGGTTCTTCCAGGGCACCTCAGAGTTGACCTTCAGCCTTACTTTCCTATTCTTGGCTGAGAATTCCCTTAGGAAGAGATTTTTCTGACCCACGTTGCGATGTGGACCATTGCCCACTAGTAATGATCCCACCACAAGCATCTTAAACACAGAGGGGCCATGAGTTCCTGCTTCCTCTGAGCTCCCAGCTGTGGAGGAGCTGTGTGGGCTTGTGGGTTCCACTGACAGGAGYAGGGATCAGGGGCTTGAATTCAGCTGAGGATCTGGCCCAGCATGTGTTAAAGCTGCCTTCTGCAGGGGTCAGTGCATGTGAGCTGCTTTCTGATGGAACTCAAGCTCTCCCATTCCTTATTTTTGCTCCTGGGCTTTCTGTTGCTTGTCTCATTCACCTGCTTGTGATCCTCAGAAGTGAGGACTCTCTGGGAGATACGGCTGTGGGAAACTACAAATGTGCCTTGGCAACTTCTGCTGACACCCAGAAAAACCTTCAAAGCAAAYCCAAATCTGGTGGATTTCTGTGCTCTCCCAAAGGCAGTGGGTCGGATGTGAAGCCTGTGTCATCTCTGCTGTTGGAGCAGGCTCTGGTTCAGCAGGTGCTTTCTTTGAATGTGCTCATCTGCTGGAGTTGTGCAAGGCATAAATGAGATCTGTTTCCTGGAGTATGTCAGATCCACACAAGACATGAGAACTTGGCCTGTTATAATAAAACTGACTGCAGAGAGGGAATAAACTCTGAGCCATGTGTGAACAGAGAAACTGGGATGTGACATTGTGGGCTGATCCCTCTTTCAAATGCAGRGAGTGATGACCAGTCCTGTGCCTGGCTCTGGCAGAGGAGAGCTGGGCAGCAGGTCATGGCATAATTGAGAAGCAGAACTTGTTTATGACAGTAAACACGAGGGAGGGAAACGTGCCCTGACCGTTCCTGCTGAGCTTTCTTGCCATGTTTAATTACCAAACACCTGCTGTGTTGTCCTGCCTCTAATGGCTTTGGAAGCACAATCCATTAAAGGGAATCTTGCTGGCAAATGGCAGAGTGACTCGCTGGGGAGACCTTGAATTGTGACCAACTTCAGTGACAAAACTTACAGGCAGCATGTGGCTGCATGGAAATGACCTTTTGGACATACTGATGAGGAGTTTGGGGCTGGTCCTTTTCCTTTGCTTGCTCCTCCTGGTTGCTTTGCTCTTCTGACTCTTGCCCATCTTTTAGCACCTCAGTGTGTGTTCTCCCTGGGTCGTGCACATGCTCCRGGAATGCTGTAAACGTTCTGCTGCAGCATCCCAATCTGCCACCCTCTATCCCTGCTCTCCCATTGCAGCCAGGACACTTAGTCATTGAGTATTCTGGGGTTGGGCCAAATTCTGGTTTTCCAAAGTAGTCTTTTTATTCCTTTGCCAAACTGGGGCTATCAGTCAAAACAGATGAGCRTAAACAAGAAACTTCACTTTCATCACTGAAAAACACTGGTACAAACAGGCAAAGGAAAGGAGCTGATTGTGTGGAGGTGCTTGAGTGGTGCCTTTCACTATCTGCAGAAACCTTCTGGGTTTGGAGCTGAGTAAGAGTCTGCATTGTCAAATTAAAACTTCAGTTCCAGTTGTTTACTGCTTGTCTCCGGAAGGGAAGTGCAGATCAAGGACAAGGCGCCACGTTGGCTCCAGGAGTTTGGTCTGCAGCTCTGGGGAGGGAGGGGAGAGGAAGAGATGAGTTATCCTTTGAAAAGTCTTTCAAAGTCCTCTGCTGTGGATTAAGTACACCTTAAAGAGCATCCTCATTATTCAGAGCATCTTATTTTTGGGCTTTGCTAGTAATAAACATTTATACATGCAAACAAYACAGCTGAAGAATTGAAGGCTGAATGGGAAGAAAGCTTTACTTGGTRGTGTTGCTGCTGGTCACAGAGCCCACAGAGCAAATAGGGTTCTCCAGCAATKCTCTTTGTTTTTGAGTGAATTTGAGTCTGAAACTCTATAGAGCTTGGGAGGATGAGAGATGGAGAAAATCAAGTGTAACTACGCTTGTGAAAGTTCCCAAAGCAAAAGCTGGGAACTGTGTGCTGCTAGAGAGCTCCTGCCTTTGGTGCRTTTAAAGAGGACAGCACAGGAATCRTCATCTGCAGGAGTGTCAGGAGAGCACCAGAGCCTGGCTGAAGGTCCAGGCTGCTGCTGTGCTAACAGGCTGCTGCTGGGCAGGACTTTTCCAAGATCACTGGCAGGAACCTGTTACCTGCTGTTCTGGTCTGATGGTTTTGTGCCACCATCTGGTCAGAAATTTTCCCCTAATTTGCTCATTATGAGCTCCTTCACCTGGAAAGGAGCAGGTCTGCCTGGCAGCTCCTGCTCAAAGCAGGTAGAATAAATACTTCCCATGCTGGACATGGCCTCTTTCCTCCCATTGGGAAAGTCACTTTAAAAGCCAGCTGGGCTCATGCAGAACAGCACGTGGATGTCAGAATCCTGTCTGTGCTGCTGGCTCTTGGGTGCCTCTCCAAGACTCATTGAGCTTCCAGAGCTCCTGGCTGGGTTGCARTCAGGTAGGTACCAGTTTGCCCTCRRAGCAGCTCTGGTGCTTTCACTTTGKGGAGAAGCAGGAGGTGCTGTGTGCTCTGCTGGTGAGGCAGTGGCAGGTTCCAGGKGGGGTTGAGCAGTAGGAGCCCTCCCTGGGGCCATGTTTTGTTCAGACCTGTTCTTCCCTGTCCTGCCAACAGGAATTATTTGCTTTCTGGCTTGGGTTTGTCCCACTGTGGTTGGGTATTGTCACACATAGGATCACAGAATGGTTTGGGTTGGAAGGCACCTTAAAGATCATCCAGTTCCACCCCCTGCCATGGACAAGGACATCTTCCACTAGACCAGGTTGCTCCAAGCCCCATCCAACCTGATCTTGAACASTTCCAAGGCATTCACAATTTTCTGTCACTCCATGCCCCTCCCCAGCTCTCTTGGAGCCTCTTGGGGCACAGTCCCAGATCATGTTGAGTTCCAGGGACAGGGTTGCATCAACCTGCCAGGATCTGGCCAGGAGATGGTGCTGAAAGGCAGCCGACTGTGCCGGCAGGGTGCCCTGGTGGCCAGTTCAGCCCCATCAGCACTGGCATGGCACACGAGGGCATCCAGTGCATGTCATCCTTGGCATTGATGCAGACCAACATTCGTGAGTCTGTACCACAGCCTCACCCCTGATCCTGCACCAAAACCTCATCCCTGGATCCTGCACCACAGCCTCACCCCTGCACATGGATGGTGGCTTTCCAAAGCAGCTCAGGCAGAGTCTGCCAGGGTTACAAACCAGCTCTAAGTAGAGGTTTTGGGGGATTTAAATGAGCATAATCATTGCTGCACAGCCTGAAGTTAAACTGAGTTCATACAGTGCTGCCTGAGGTCTCTTTAGTTCTGAATGTGCCATGCATCCCAAAGTTAGAAATGCTGGATGTGAGATGCCTGAGAGGGTGGCAGGGATTTGGGCTTTTGTTCTTTTCAGCCCTCTCCTAATAGGGCCAGCAGCTAAAAAGTGAATGACGATGCAAATTCCAGTAGCAACAGCGAGTCTGAGTTGGGATGAACAGGAATAACGGTCTCAGCTCTTTCCCCCTCCAGACTGTCTGCAGCCCTTGCACAGTTGGTCAGTGCTGGAAAGCTGTCAGCAGCCCGCAATACTAAAAATTAAAGGGGTTTGAGTGGGTTTTTTTTTTGAGGGAGTTAAAAAAAATCAAAGGGGGGTATTACATTTTGTGTGAAGGTGTTGCCTCTGCCAATTCTTTGCTTAACCCATGGCATAGAGGCTGTGGGGKTTTTGCTGGGACAAAGCATTGCTTTGCAGAGCACCACATTGTGCTGTTCTCCATCAGGCCTCTGCTGCCCGGGGGAAGAGCAGGGGAAGTGGAGCTGAGGAAGAGGAACACCCCTACGAGCTGTTGCTTACAGCAGAAACTAAAAAGCCGGTTGCAGTGGACAGGAAAACAAAAGGTGAGTGACCATCCAAAAAGCTTGCATGCACTTCAGGAAAACATGAAGGGCAGAGGGCAAGTGGAACAATGGAATTCTTTGCTGGGTGGGGGCTGGAGGGTGATTGTTGTGTTTCCTGGTAATCTCTCTGGAAAGGAGAGCTCTGAACGTTCCTGTACAGGGTGTACACAGAGGAAGGGCAGCTCTGTTCTGGGACAGTTCAGAGATTGCAGGGATCTACTGTGTGACCTCAGAAATGCCCACATCTTGTGCCTGCCAAGCAAAGGCAGAGGGTGAGAGCCTGGAGGCTGTGCCTTCTTGTTCCAGGGGAGATGAGCAATGTGAGTGTTCCAGTGAGCTGTGTTCTCTATCCAGCTGGTGCTGCAGCTTTCTGCTGTCCTGCTGTAAAATCAACATCCTGCTCTGTGTTAGAGCTAATTTGAGATGGAAACTAATGGAGGAAAACAAAAATGTGTAGAGCAAGAACCAGAACTGACTGAAATCCATGGGATGCACAGGTTAATGTGAGGCAGTCTCTCCTCCTGCAGAAGGACCTTTGTGTTTTGCAAAGCATCTGGGAACACCTTGTCTCTTGTGTTTGGCTGTTGTTGGCTTTTTGGCTTTCCTTCAACAATAACAACAAAAGATTTGTTTAGAGGGAAGAGATTTCCAGTTATATTCACAAGTCCTGAGCAGGAATTTTGRGTGGATATAGTTTGGATTCTCACAGTGAAACCCCCTCTCCCTTTGAGGATGGGCAGGGCTAATGAGGAGTCAAGGTGATGGCTCATTGACTGCCTTGTCAGACCTGCAACTTTTTTCTCCTCCTTGCAGCATGATAGTTATCATTGCTCGAGTCCCGCTGCTCTCCTGGCTGCTCCAGGGTGGCACAAGAGGTCACTGCRTTCCCACCAGCACTTGCCAAACCCCTCACTGCCAGAAACAAAATTTGTGAGCTTTTCAGGTTGGTGCTTTGCAGTCTGGGCCAGGAACAGTCCTTGGGCAACAGCCACTGAGCCAGGGCTTTCAGGCTTTCAGCAGCTATTGCTGGTTATTCAAGCACRAGCTATTCCAGCTGTTCTGCTCCTTCCCCTGGCTGCTGTGTTCAGGCGTGATTGGTAAGAGTGGAGGTGTATCCTAATTATGTGTCAGCTTAAAATAAAACCTCAGAGTAATGCAGCTGTGTGTTCTTGATGCAAATCTCTTCCCCCGAACACMTGAAGACAGGAGAAGTTGCAGGAAGATCTTTATGGATCCTGTTATGGATCCAGAGCAGAGTCCCATCTTTTGATGTAGAGCTGGAAAGATCAAAGCTGTGGCTTCATGGTTTGCGCTCCATGAAAATGGTGCTGTGTTGGTAACAAACCTGCAGCCCTTCCCGCTATTGCAGTGGGAGAAATTCAAGGATGCAGATGACTTTTTCCTCATCTTCCAGCACTTGCTTGTTCTTTAAATGCAGTCAGCACTATGGCTGATGGGGAGAAGATAAATTTGGGGAGTAGCAGAGTTGTTTTGGCAAAGAGTTAAACAGGAGCTGAGGGAGGGACCGAAGCCTTCCTTGGAGTGTTGGAGAATTTTCCCACCTCTGGATCAGAAGGGTCCTGGAGCATCAAAGGCAGCAGCTCAGTCCCAGGAAATAGAACAGGCTGAAGCATGGCTTTGAACTGCTTCTTGGCTCTCAGTCTGAGGGTCTGGCCTTCTGGATGAGTTCTGGAGGAGCTTTTGGTCAGGAGAGGAGGRCTTGGGTTCTTGTGGCTGTTGAAAGGGCATTTCAGGGCAGCGGAAAGGCTGAATTTCAGGCACGCGGGTTTAATGGTGCCTTTCATCTGTGATAGCTGCCTTTGTTCCTCTGGCTGCCAGTTGTTCTGTGTCCAGCAAGCAGATGAATGTGGCATTATCCRCTGGCTTTGGTGGCCTTTGTGTGTGTTAGAGCAGCTCGCTGTCACATGCTGGAGCACTGGGAGAGGTTGGCCTCATGTTTTGGGCAGGGTATCAGAAGTGGTTTAAGCCAAATGCTCTCCCATCCACTTTGGTGTGCAGTCACATGCACGAAGTCAGGGCACTCAGGCCCTGTAACGGGGCGTGAAAATGAGGAAAGAGAGGAGGGGAATGTTTGTGGAGTGACCAGAGGAGGCTTCTCAGCTCCTGCTGCCTCCTGACTGTCCTGATGGAGGGCGAATGTGGAAAAGCTTTTGAGTTTTGGTCTGTTTGGCTTCTCAGGAATCACCCCCAGGTGCTGTCAGCAGTGACCAGCTGCAGGTAGGAGTGACTTAGTACCTTCTGGTAGTTACTGCAAACTGATGCCTGTTGAGGTTGTTCTGTGCTGCTTCCATAGGAAGCCCAGCTTGAAGTCCCTGCATCRCCCTTCCTCCTGTTAGAGGTTTTCTTTGTGGTTACACTGGTTCAAGCAGTGCTGTGTGATTGTTGCTGGCTCATTCCAGCTCGCTGGTTTGCAGCACRAAGTCAGAACATGCTGCAGAGAGACAGGAAGAAACTTTTCTGAGAGCCAGAGTATGGCTGCTGCAACAGCAGGGTGAACATTGCTCTTGGGGATCTGTGGGACACTTGGATATTGCAGACAAAGGTTTGGGGACAGAAAGCTCTTGGTTTGCTGTGAGATGAAGGACAGGATAAACCCATAGGCCATGTATCTGTGGTGTTATCGTGGACAGAGGGCAGACCCTTGTTACATATCCCAGGCCCAAGCCTGTGTTTCTGCTGTCATGCTGCTATGCAGTCACACTGATGATCTCTCTAAGCAGGACAGTGTCTCATTGCCCTTTCTGAAGAGGGGAGTGCAAAAGAGCACAAGTTCARGTGGATAAACTCAGCCTGGAATGGCTGAGCTTGATGAGGCTAACACAGGAGTGTGCCCTCCTCAGCTGGGTTCCACACCTGGTACCTGGCTGTGCAATGAGCCTGTGTTTMAGTTCTGTTTGTAGGTGAAGGTTATTTTTGCACCCTTCAAGGCCAGCTTCCTCCTCTGGCCTTCTGTTTCYCAGGAGGGAGATTTGCCTGCTCCTCACTTGACAGATTCTGGCATGATGTAACACGGGGAGCCTTTTTCTGTGCAAGTCAGAGGCTGCTGTATGCCCTCACTAATTTGAAGGGTGGGGAGCTTGTGCAAGCAGCAGCTGCAGTAACAGCTTCATTCTCCTAATCCAGGGCCGTGAGACAAATCCTGCTGTTGATATATTGGGGAAAAAAATCCAGTCGAGGCAGGGCGGTTACAGCTTAGCATGGAGTGTTTAGGGAAGTGCTTCCTATTTGGAGTCYTCAGGCTGCTGGCAGGGAAGCTCTTGTTTGAATCCTCCCTGGGAAGCAGACACTGTACCCAGGAGGGGCTCCTGATCCCAGGAAGGGTTGGGAGAGCCTCTCCTATGGGTGAGAGCTGCAGCAGGCTGTGGCTGAAAAAGTCAGGATCAGTCAAGWGATCTGTGCTGGGGTGTAAAATCAGTGACAGGAGCTGAGCAGAAGTCCCTGTGTTGAGGAGCCTCTCTGGGTGTAATTCGGGTGTAACTGGAGGATGATTCTTTCAGGTACCATTAAAGGAGAGGCCTGCAGAGCCCTGCATGTCCTGCTACGTGCACCTCAGTGACAAAAAGAGTGAGGTGACTTTCCACATTGTCTGTCTGCACCTTTCAGGGCAGGCTCTGAAATGTCTCCTTCAGGATGTTCCTCACGATTTCTCAGCAAGTGTTGTTTCTCTCACTCCATCYCTTCCTTCCCTGGCAGCTGCCCTGTATTTCAGAGTCCCTCTTCAGCTTGTTGATGAGTGGGTGGCTGGGATTCCTGTCCAACAGGAGCCCTTTTGTGAGGTGCTGGAGCTGGAATTGGAGCACTTTGTTCTGGCTGGACTCAAGTGTTACAGCACGTGGCACAGGCATTCGCCAGCCGCCTCTCTGCCTTCAGCAGAAATGTCAGTAAAGGTTCAGCTGGGACATAGAAGAAATGGTTTCCAACGAAAGAAAGAGGTTGGGAAGAAAAACTGCGAAAGTTTTTCTTTCCCCACAGGTTTATGTGACTGTTCCATCACTGCTGTCCTGCTCACCTTTCCCATTAGTACCAGTCTGTCCTGTGAATACAGCACATCTGATCTCCTCTGAGCTTTGTCCTCTGAGGTTCCTCTCCAGCACTGGAGCTTCAGAGCTTTATGCAGAGTAACTGAGCTCTGTAATCTGGGGTGCTGCTGCTGGYCCCCCTCAGCCAGCGCTGGGACCTGCCTCCCCTTGGCAGCTCCAAACACTGAGCTGGTGGTTTATGTGCCTGTGCAAGAGAGTCAACAACTACTTCACTGTCCTGGAATCTCTAACTCATAGGATCCAGGATGAGATAATCCCCTGCATCACTTGATCCCAGAGAGCAGTGCGGGCTGTGGTTGTTCCTGCCTTCCTGTGCCTGCGACAGGGACTCACCATACTCGTCAGGCATGGGGTACCTGGGACCCCCACACAAAGGCAGATGAGTAATTCATCCCTTGTCCTGCCCATTTCTGGTGTGAGGACAGACCACAAACCCCACAGGTGTTGGTGTTCAAAAATCCCTTGGTCAGGCTTRGTGCTGGAAAGTTGCTGGGGGCTGAGTTGGGCTCTCTGCTGCTGCTAACAGGCTGCTTTTAGTTTAAGTAGAATTCTTTATTTTGCTCACAGAAAGGAGGGTTCCTTTGCCTTGGCTTCCCAGAGCCGCTGTCCACAAARCAGGCGATTTCCTCTTCACATCCAAACATCCTCCCTGCACTTCAGAGCCTCGTTATCGGAGTGCTTTGCTTTATTGTTCCCTTGCAGCATCAATTTTTAGTCCTCAGACTGACGAGTTTCTTCAGCACTAAATGGAAGCAGTTAAAATTCACAAGCAATGCTTGGGAGGGTGAAGGAATCCTAGGAAACCAAAGTTAGACTTGTTGGCTTGACAGAGTTTTGCTTTTGCAGTTGGAACGCTCGTTCAGCTGTGACAAAGGTGAGTACATGGGGGTGGGTGTGTGCATGCTCAGCACTTGAGATCAGTCAATTCTTCATGGTTTATGCAGGACCCTGGTACCTGATATTAAAGCTGCTGGGGCAGGAATAGCTGGGAGCCAGTGTCACATTTCTGGGGCAGCCGGTGCTCCACCAGCTCTGACCACTCTGTGCTCAATTCATTGCAAAAGAGACTTTTTGCTCAAGTTTCTCTTCTTGCATAAACTGTTTATTTCTCTCCCCTGAGCAGGGAGGAGAGGTTAAACTCGGAAGCCACTAGGGAGGGAAGCAGTGGGTTTTTTTGGGAGCGGATTTTGGAACTCGCAGGTCGATTACAGTCCAGSCGTTTTCCCACCCTGTGGCCCGTGCCAAGAGCCGGGCGCGCGGCTCTAAATAACGCTTTGGCCTTTATGGAAACGGATCAGATGTTCCAGGAGCCTCGGTCTCTGCTGCTCCCACCTCACTTGCTCTCTCTGCAGGATATAGTTAGCACTTCTCTTGGCCTTATATAGCAAGGCCTGATAGTTAGTGTTAACAGGAATAAAAAACACGGAGAGCTGCCAGATTGCGTAAATCGGGCCAGTGTTTGGAATTTCATAAATGCCATGACTTTGGGTACAAGTTGAGCACGCGGAACAATACGGAACTGTTCTCTCTTTATCTCTCCCTCCCTTGCTGAGGGAGGGCAGGGAGAGAGCCGGGATTTTSCTGCTTCTTCCATGTTTTTAATTTCCCCCTCCTCTCTGTTTTTCATCCCCTTGAAGACCACAGGAGGAGCAGCGGCRGCCGCAGCCAGGACTCTGCCGACAGCCAGGACATCCAGGTGCCAGAGCAGTTTTCAGGCTTGCTCCACGGCTCTTCTCCAATCTGTGAGATAAGCGAGGACCCTTTCAGACTCGTTTCCTCCACGGAGAAGGGGGACACGGAAGCCTCGAGCCACCCYGCTGCTATGCAGCTGGAGGATGCTGAGTTGCCCTCGTCGGGATCAGCACGGAGCAGCTCCCCRGACCCCAAGCAGACGGTGGTGTACGCCACGGTGCAGCACGTCAGCCGGGCGGATCCCGCGGCCGTAGTCACGCCCCACGTGCCGCAGCACCCCGGCGGTGCCGAGCCAGAGGGGGACAGAGCTGTGGGCAGAGCCCACCCGGGCAGCAAGCCCAAAGCCGAGCTCAAACTCAGCCGCAGCTTGTCAAAGTCGGACTCTGACCTGCTGACCTGCTCCCCGACGGAGGACGATGCCATGGGGAGCCGCAGCGAATCGCTCTCCAACTGCAGCACCGGCAAGAAGCGGCTGGAGAAGTCCCCGTCCTTCGCTTCGGAGTGGGATGAGGTAAGGCTGAGCTTGCTAAAGAGYCTCTGTGCCAGGAATGACTGTGCTGCAGGAGCTCCCCTCTGCCACGCTGCCCTCAGGGGGTCCTGGGTGGGTTCCATGACTTCCAGTAACTCTCAGAAGGCATTAACAGGCACATGCTGGCTTGRGAGCCTGTAAGGTGTTAAATGCCAAAAGATAAAATTCATTGGAGTGGGGAAGTAGCAGAACTGCAAGCAGTTTCAAAGTTTTTTGCTCAAACACAGGGATTGTTTATTTTTAGGCAAGCCAGGTAAGTTTCACATCCCCAAAATGAGGAAGACTTGGTAACAGTGCACTTCACCAACCTTTCTCCTGATCTCCTCCTTCCAGTTCTTCCCYGTTGACTCTCACAGTGTCTTGGAGGTGTTGTGTAGCTGGATCCCAGCTGCTGGGGAGTGTGAGCAGTGCCCGGGGGTTCACAGGGATGAAAGGGAGACAGTAATTAGGCTGGTTTGTGTATTTGATAGCTCCTGCTCTCCTCCTCACACGCTTATTTCAGCGGCTGGTTAGCAGTCACTTTATTATCATACGGGACGCCCACGGACAGTTAAATATTTCATGYTCAGAAAGTTGGCCCTGGAGAGCCACTGGGGCGAGATTAAGTGTCCCTCTGAAATTCAGCACCGCAGCATTACTGAAACATTCTTTGGGGATGATTCTGTGCTGGGAGAGCCGGGGCTGGGGAAGAGATAAGCTCGGATGAACCACTCTTTGTACTCTGAAAGGAACCAAAACCCCTGGCGTGGTGCTGGGGGTGTGGAGCCGCGTGTGCCGGGCGTGGAAACCCGGGGGAGGGTTGTGCCCCTGCACTGGCTGATGCTCAGCTGCCTCTCCAACCCTGGCTTGGAGAGAAAATTATCATCTGGGGAAGAGGGAGGTATTTGGAGATGCAAAGAACAACGTGAGAATCCATCCCTCAGTTCATTCTCTCCCTCCCCCTCACTCCCTGCCGGGTCTCAGGGTTGCCAAATAGATATTTTCCTCTGCAGCTGCTTGGGCTGGAGAGGCTCKGCTGTTAATTGCCCGGGTCATTTGTACCATGGCTCAGGGAAAGGCTCTGCAGAAGGTTCTTTGGAGGGACAGGATAATTCCCTGTGCTTTTATCTGAGCTGTTTGCAGCAGACACTGAAAGGGCAGAAGCCTTTGGCATGACTGCACTGGTAGCAGAGGTCAAGTGTTGGGCTGCCTGCACTGCCTCTGCTTCCTCTGCTCAGATGAACCCTCGGAGCTGCTTCCTCCTGCTTGTAAACAAATCCCTCATTTCCCCCGAGGCAGCCGGACAAGCCCCAGGAGAGGAATCTGCTTTTCCTTCCCTTTATGTTTAGGTGAGGAAATCAGAGAAAGAATGTGAAAAATTCACATCTGTCTGCAATGGGGCAGGTCTCACTTTTAAAAAGTCTAGCCGGTCGTAGTGGCAACAGTGAGATTTAAACATAAATGTAATAGTGAGATTTARACATAAMTGTRATAGTGAGATTTAAACATAAATGTAATGGTGTTGAATGTGTTCCCTGGATGGGATAATGCAGCTGCTCAGAATTGGATGCAACTTGCAGCCTCTGCATTTACCAGGGTGATATAAACCTTCTTGAACCACCCCTGTTGGCAGTGGTTTGGCTCTCCCTCTGTGCTGAGGGKTGACAATGGCAGATTTATATTATTCTATTAATTTTAATGGCCTTTATGCAGGTGACTAAGGAGGGGAGTGATCCATGTGCAGCTCTCTGTRACTCCCAGCTGTACCCAGCAAGCTGAGGGCTCTGCCTGCTCTTCTGGCCAGCACTGGAGGTGTCTGTGCAGGGCACTGGGGCTTGGGGAGGGCTCTCTGKTGTCCCTGGACAGATGGGACCTGCAGCAGGGGCTGAGCTGACTCTACTGGGAGCTCTGGTGGCTGACTGGGGACAGCAGAAAATCTGCTTGGAGGCAAAGGGTCACGTCCTTGCCCCAGCCGAGCACTGCCAATGCCCTTTGTTGGAAGTGGAAGGTGATGCTGGCTTTGCCAAAAGGGTGGGATGGGGAAGGAATGATTCACTTGGCACAGCTCGTCCCTGTTCCCACTTGCAGCTCCCCTGCTCCAAGGACCTGGCCTAGAGTGTTGCTTTGTGCTCTGTGCTGCCCAGGAGCCTGTTCAGCCCCTGTCCCATCTTCTTCTGACCCTCTTCTCCTTCCTGGGAGTGGGAAGGCACTGGTGGTCCCGCAGCCACTGTCAGGTGGGAATTCTGTGTGAGCAAGGCAGAGAAACTCTTATATTAAACATCCATCCATTTATTGCCCAGGGAGAAGGTGAGGACCCAAAACGCTCGGTCCTGCTCTAGGGACAAGGAGGCATGTGAGGGGATAGAGCTCTCAGTCAGCATTAAGTGTTTGAATCCTTCCAAACCTGGCTGAGGGCTGAAGTGATGGATTTGGTTTTTTCATCATTGGCTGATGAATATTGAGCAGACAGGGGTGGGCGGAGCAGGCACCTCGCAGGGGTTTGGTATAAAATAACCTGTATTTGTACCTCTGAAGAAAGGGGTTTCTTACCCCCAGCCCTACTTCCAGCCCCTCTTTGAGGGCTGATTAACCTGCTTCTGCTCTGCCATCCTCCGTAGAGCAAAGCAGCCCTGCCCATCAGCCTGCTTCATGCTCCAGGCTCTGAGCAGAGCAGAGATGCTGCACTCAAGGCCTGGGGCTGCTCTTCTGCCTCGTAGGTGTTGGTAAGAAAAGCAATCTGTTCAATGGTCAGGGCTGCTGGGAATTAGCCTCAGACCTGGCTCCTGACATCCCTGAATCCTCCACTTGCAGCTGCCTGCTGGAAGRTCAGCAGCTCCAATGCTGAACTTGAATTTTGGAGATTCCAGTATCGATCCCACAAAAGAGGTGGTAGTTCTGTGTTCTGACTTAAGCATTCTAGGAGGAGATTAAACCTCCTTCAAAAAAAAATTAGGGAACTGAATGTGCATGTAACTTCAGGTTTCTTTAGAAAAAAGGAGGTGCACAGTTCACCACTTTCTTTTTTTCTTCAAATAAATGAGTTGAAGAACTAATTTTGTAGTTAATTATGGCACTGGACATTAATCTCTGATGACTAACTGCAGTGGTGCTCCATGTCTCCTCCGAAAGGAATGCTTTGCATCTGCAGTAGCCATGGATATGGTGTTTCACCCGGTGCTGATCTGTTTTGGGGGTGTTAATGTCCCCTAAGGATAGATGCCAGGAGCAGATTGTCACATATTGGCACCACCTTCCATTTCAGGCTTGAAGCTGGGAAGAGCTTGATGGAGGTTGTGGGTGCTGTGGGTGCCTTTAGACCTTGTGGGGAACTGTTGGGTGCTGCAGTACCCAGTGGAATCAGTGCCTTAATTACAGGCTTACAGTGGAGGATTAACAACATTTGCATTGAAATGTGAAACTTTCAGGACAGCTCTTGATGCAAAACCTGCCACTGCCTTTAAAACACCCAGGAGTTGAAATTCAGAGCTGCCAGCCAGCACTGTTGAAAGAAAATGCAAATATTCCCCTTGTTACTCAGGGAGAGCTGCTGRTTTGGTGCCTGGTGAAATTGCGGTGTGTAAAAGCTCAGGCATCAGCCTGTGCCTCCCAAAATGTTTCATTTATTCTCTAGGTTCAGGTGTTTAAATCTCAATTTGYCCTGGTAGGACAGGCAGGGTGGATTAATTTGTCCCCAGGTGTCCCCTGCCCCAAACTAACCCTCGCCCTCAGCTCTCATTCCAGTTTCCCCTTTGCCTGAAATGGTTTGTAATTCATTTTTATCTAGGGCAGAAGCAGTAGTGGGGTCAGTATTTTTGGTCTTGATTTCTGCTAAACCAGCATGGCCTTCAGGGTCTTAATCAGCTTAATTATTGGGCTGATTATTCTATTATCTCSAGATCCCAATGTTTCCTCTTGTTTTTCCTGTGCTAAGGTCAGGAATTCTTACATCATCCCTCATGTCCAATCTCTTCCCTTTGCCCCCAGTAGTGAGATTTCCTCCAGCCTGAAGAACTTTTTGAAGTGGAAGCTTTTGTGTTTGCACCGTTTTTAAACCTGCTGCAAAGGCCCAGCCTGTTGGGATTATGAGCCAATGTGGAACTAAGCCAATCCAAGCCAATGTAAGACAATTCCCTGGTTTTAGAGGAAGATTGGTGTGTTGGGAGGCAGATGTAAAAACCAGGCATGCTTTGTTTCAGCATTTAGCAGCAAGGGTTGGACACAACAGGGGTGATATTTGCTGGTACAGCAGCTCCCTCCACCTCTGTGTGTGTTTCTTGGAGCTTCTCAAGTGTGTGAACTCAGTATTAGTGAATCAGAAGCTTTTGATTCTTCTGTGTGARTGATTCGTGCTCTGACGGATGTTTTGGTTATGTAACAACCTTGTGATCRTTGGCGTTTTGGGGACATTTTTGTTTTTCAGGAACACAAATGTCCGGCTGCAGTGTCCTTACTAAATCCAGTCCTTCATTATGTTCTCTTCCGCTTTACGTCGCATCTTCCAGCACTTCTGAAGCTTTTATTTTAAAAAAAGAGGTTTTTTAATCTCTCTCAAATGCAGCAGCTTCACTGCTCTACCTCATGTYCCACAGGCTGCAGCCAGCCTTGCTTGAGAGCCTTATGTTGCTTTGGGGTTTKTGTTAGGATGCAGCAATATGGAAAKGCAGTGAATTGATTYGGTGTTTTTTGARGRTTTGCCTYTWTTATTGTGTTTCAGGAGTAGCTGTTGTCCAGTTGTTTCCCTGCTGTGGGCAGATCTGTTGCTGCATTTGGCCATTCTCTTTATGGTGTCAGTGTTGGATTTTGTTGTTTGTCAAAACAACGTTGATATTTGGAAGGCTCTGATAYTGCAGATCCATCACACACTGTTGTGAAATTCAAGTTTATACCATAAGTTCCTTTTRGTACGTGTTTAGATTTGCAACTTTGGGATTTGTACAAAAACATAGGCTGGRAAGTGGCATGAAGCAACAGGCCCTGGTCCCCATCCAAATGAATTTCTCAGA